AGCTTACTAATGAAAATTTAAATGTAAATTTGTATATTGACAATCAAAGCACAATTAAGATGATGAAAAACGAATGTAATGGAAAAAGGTCAAAACACATTAACATTAAGTATAAATTTACTGCTGAAAAAATTAATCAGAACAATTTTGTTGTTAAATACTGTCCATCTGAGGATCAGTTAGCAGATGCTTTTACTAAGTCATTGACTCCCATTGTTTTTGAAAAATTAAGAAGTAGATATTCGCATTTTTTCATGTAAAACTGGACAATGAAATGATAAATTTAAGTTTTGAATTTGAAATTTATCTGTATGTTTTCTAGTGATTTTTTATGAATATTTTAAAACTTGATATGACAGATGTATGTTAGATTTTAAAATTGATTGACTACAAAATTTAAAATAATGTTACAAAACAATATATTGCTTAATTTTTTAAACTTTTAAATTGAAAGATTTGAATAATGCCATTATTATATTTATACTATTTGACATTATTTTTGACAGATTTTTTTGTAACATTGTTATTACTGATTCAAATTTAAGGGAGAATGTTAGTAAGTAAATTTGAAAATTGGAGGGAATTGTGGTCACATGTTACAAAAAATGCTATTGGTCCGCCATTTCTGCCTCTGGGCCAATCAGAACACTCGTTTCTGTTTGCTAGCATGTTATTATTGTTTGTCACTTAGATCACGCTGTTCATTAAAACCTTAATATTAAAACTCAGTGTTTAAAACAGTTTGTGTGTCATAACTTAAAAACCTTAACATCTTCTACCGATTGAAAACGGGTGCCACGAAGTGGTAATTTGAGTTTAGGAAAAAGAAAGAAAAAGAGCCAAATCTGGTGAATATGGTGGTTGCCCGATGGTATTTGTTGAGTGTTTGGTCAAAAATTCGTTCACAATGATGGCCTTGTGCGAAGGCGCATTATCGTGGTGCAAAATCCAAGAATTTTCTTTTCACAAATCTGGCTTTTTTCGTCGAATTTACTCTCTTAAATGCCGCATAACGCTTAAATAATATTCTTTATTTACCGTTTGACCTTCCGGCAAGAATTCCGAGTGCACAACACCGCGATAGTCAAAGAAAACAGTCAACATGACCTTGACCTTTGATCGACTTTGGCCTGGTTTTTTCGGTTTCGGTTCAATTGGAAGGCGCCACTCCGAAGCTTGTTGACTAGTTTGCATGTCTAACTCGTAAACCCACGTCTCGTCACCAGTAACAATGCGTTTAATGAATGTTAGGTCAGAATTGACTCGTTCTAGCTTGTCCTCAGCGACTCTCATGCGATTGAGTTTTTGGAAAAAAATCAGGTCTTTTGGGACTAGCCGAGCAGTAACATGTTTCATACCCAAATGATTAGTTAAAATGGATACGGATCGACTCGTGAGATACAGAAAGTTCGGCGGATATCTCTCTCAAAGTTGAATGAGGATTTTCAGTCACTATTTCCTTCACTTTTGCGATGTTAACCTTAGTTGTAGACGTTGATGGCCTACCAGATCGAGGCAAATCTTCCATCATATCTCGACCGCTTTTAAACGCTTTGTACCGATCATAAGTACGTGTTTTTGATAAAGTCGATTCACCGTAAGCCTTCTTTAACATTTTCAGTGACTCCGAACACGAAATTCCATTGGCGATGCAAAATTTAAGACAAACTCTTTGTTCGATGTTTTTGTCCATTTTGAATTTGCAATACACACTAGATACACTAGACAACTAAAAACTGCACTGTATTTAATATAAATAACAGATACAACTCAAACTCCGCGCCAAAATGGACAACAGTTGTGCCAATCTAACAACAACAAAAAAATACAAAGAGTTGAATTTGGAACCATAAACAAATCATCCATTCCCGATACTTTTTTGACTGAATGTTGGTTGGACATGATGACCAGTTGTTTTTGACGACATAATTATACCTCTGAGTCCAAGAACTCTGGCTGTCTGAAGAATTCAAAATCATACCTGTTACACTTGGCTGCGAAGAGGTGCGGCCGAGTGCGCAACGGCAACCGTGATTTTTCAGAGTCTTTATATATATTGCCGTGCAGTGGACGATATTTTATTTAAAAAACAAGTGAACGAAATGTTTTCCCAAAAATCAATTAACAAAAATTTAATTAAAAATACTGCCACATTTTGATAGGCAACCTGGTAGATATATAATCTCACAATCATAAATAATTATGAAAACTGGGTTTTTAGGACATACTCGATGAGTGCACTGATTCTGCAGCCGGATCTCTTACTATTAAATTTTAGCATATCTTTCAGTTTGATGCGTACTATTTTACAGGGTTTATACAAAACTTTCGGTACCGGCTTCTGGTATCTTGATTATGACGCATTAATTTGCAAAACTAAAAATAAAACCAATAATAATAATTTTTAATCATATATTTAAATCAGTTATTTTCTTACACACTTGAAATAAATTTGACTAATAATCTGATAAACAGTGCAATATTTCTAAATTGTTACATATTTGACGACCGCAACGTATTGGGTCCCCGGGTTACATAAGCCACAGTAACAAATTACTTTAAATACTACTATTTATTTTATTGAAAATATTGATTTTTATTCTATTACTAGAGAACCTAAAAACTAGATAATAATGACGCCAATTAAGTTATTTAAAAAAAATAGAATAGCAAATTGTTTGTACGTGTGCTGGTATGATCAAATATGCCAAAATTCAGAATATTTAAAAATATGGAATTAGAAGTAAGAATTGGAATGCACCCAGACTGATAACTTAAGAAATAAATTGTAAACAAATTGGTATGAAAGTCGTTATAAAGCAAACGGTAAGGACAGCAGCCAGTAGTTTTAATTAGTATTTTGTAGAACCGATTCGTACGACACTCAACCCTCGTTGGTGACTATAGCTGAAGGAGATTTCTGTGAAGGTGAATAAGGTTAGCAAATATACAAATTAAACTACTCGGTTGTTATAAAATAGACGTATAGTTCTTGTTTTGAGTCAAAATGGACAACAAATAACTTATGTTAGTTTAAACTTACAACGGGAATCGCAGTACGATACTATCCGTCGATGTTAGCACCATTTTTAACTATATTTATTATGTAACTGCTTTGGGTAAGATCGCCCGTGGAAACTTTTCTACAAATATGTAGTAACGGTTACAAATGTATGGATACAGTTAAAATAAAAAGCAAATTGCATATGGTTCGCAATGCAACGGCAAAATACTAAAACATTAAATCCTGCAATAAATACACATAAACATTTATTATACGCTACTTACTTCAATGAAATAAAAAAATCTAGTATGCTCTATGTTTACTCAAAGGCCAGGGTCCTTCTATCTCAGTATTAGTATCCTTTAGTAATTGGCAGTGAACTGCTAGTGAATAAGAGGGTTACATTTTAATGAAATCAAAAAATATTGTTTGTTAAGTTCATTTCTTAAATGCTAAGAAAGTATTAATAGCTAGGTAAGATCTTTTTATGCTTTGTAATTATACATATAAATTAGAAAATTACACCAGGCATTTATATCGTTAAATTGATCGCAAGTTATGTCCAGCCTATATATTTGTCCTACGGAACTACACTGATATCAGCTCCAAAATCGTGAAAAGCAAATGGCTTTAGTTTGATACTTGTATAATAGAGGTCAGTGGGTTTAAGAGAATTGCTAGAATTATAATGACCTGTATGTAGAATGTTCATTCGCCTTTCGATATTTTATATGGTATGAATATAACTTCCATACTTATATGATAAATGTGAAAGTGATTTTGTTTGTTACGCTTTCACGCCTAAACCATTAAATCGATTTAAAAAATTCTCACCATTGCAAAGCTACATTATCAGCGATTAACATAGGCTACTTTTTACCGCAATAATCGACATACACGCGGGCGGAGCCGCGGGCATTAACTAGTACATAATAAATGTAACAAAGTCTCAATGACTAGTCGATTCTGAGCTAAGAATATTATTTAAATATAGATGTAATTGAAAACATTTGTAATATGCGGCAAATGTCTGCTATTTACTTTTATCTCAGTATATATAAATGTTTGTGTGTATCTCATCTGGCCATGGGCCATGGGCATGGTATATTAGGCCAAAACCTCTTTTCTAAGGAGAGGCCTATGTAAAGCAGTGGACTATTAAAGGCTGTTAAAGAGATATAAATGTATATTTATATTAGATTCTGAGTTTATCATGTCGTGCAATGTAAAGTCAACAATAATCCACAGTATTCACAATATTTACAACTCTGGTGTTCACTAGCAGTACAACCTATCGTTTTCCAATTGACAGGTGAGAGTTCCTTTGATGATCCAATCAATTAATTGTTGGTAATCTCAAAAAAATCATTTCGATTATCTTCATCATCTTATTATAATAGACTTTAGATATTATAATAGACAATAAATACCACAAAATTAGATTTCTAGAAAATTGATTCTTCTATCGTACAAAATTATGCACTTCTTTCTCTGTTCATATGTATTTAGTAGAGCACAATAAAATTACTTTTTTATCATCAGCAACCACTCAACCTTAACAAATATTTTATTATTTTCCAGTTTTCTAAAAAATCATGGGAAGCTGTAAACTTCAAAATCACAATCAATTATTTGTTTTACATATCACTCAACATATTTGTTGTTAGATTACACATACTAAATGGTAATAATATACATAATCAAATAGTCACATTGAGTGACTATACTGACAACTATAAATCAGATAATTTAACATAATATATGTATCTTTGAGGACTGATCTTAATCTCAGCTCACTGCAAAACTTAAACAACACAACTATTCTCTTCTTCTCGCTGTGAGGAGTTGATGTGTGTACACGAACACAAACTTAGTCACAAAACATACATTAAATCTTACTTCCAACCCCCTCACTATTGTCTATTACAACAGAAAGTGCGCGCGGTCACTAGATTTTCTTTCTAGTGTATTGCTTAATGATAATGGTGCGTGGCTGTCAGGCGAGGTGGGACAGGTCGTCCAGCTCCGGGGGCGCCTGTGGCCCGCCGCTCCCGCGAGCGAACACGGGCTTGGCCACCACCGACACCGGGGCCTTTAAGGAAATATATCAATATTAGACATCAAGTTATGCATGTAAGTATAGAACTTATATTTGTGGTAATTATTTTTATTTATTTACAGAGAGCATTTCCATCGTATGAAAACAATCAGAGAAATATTCAATTTACTCGAAAGCACCGTTTTTATCTTACAAGAATCTTTAAGCAACTTAAGTTATATATTCACATATATTCACATCTTACTCGTTAGGATACTGTATATTTAGTGTAAGGTTAGTTCTTATAAACTACTTAAAAATATTTATAAAATGTTTTGTTAGGAAGCTATAGGTATTTTTTTCAGTTAAAACATTAACATTACACATGAAATTGCTGTTGGTTGATAACCTAAATATCCTACTCATAATAAGTACAGACCTGGCTGACCTGTCCAGGTGCCGAGATGGATGCTTGGTGATGCGATGGCTGCACACCCACTACCACAACCTTCTGGGGGGGCGCTGCTCCGCTGGCTGGGCCGGACGTCACCACCACCGACTATGACACATGCACAATCTACGTCACTACAACGCACACATTACTTTACTACTCTTGCTACTTGTGTTACAAAAGACGCATGTCTTTCAGTTGTATTTAATTAACTTTGGCTGATGAACTAGGACACTCCACTATTCATAATAGCACTATCAGACACGAGGACTAAAATATAAGTGTAGTAGAGTACTTAAATCCTATATGAGATATGGCGGCTTTTTATGCGCCGCATCGCAGTCTACTTCTGTTTGTGTATGAGTCTTATAATTCATAGAAGAGAAAAATAGTTTTAGACGACAAGATGAAAATAAAGTCGTGTAGTAAACGGAATTGACTGTTAATTCAATACTGATCATGATAAAAACAACTTGGGAAATGAGTATCTTGAAATACTATACGAATAAATCTTTATTTAAAGGACGAACAATTTTTTAATTATTAGTAATTGTCTTATCAGAATTATTTATTGGTTATAATAATATAAGTGGTTATAATAATATAAAGTCGAATGTTTCTTTAATCATGTGCACAATTCTCGATTTCAGGCCTTGGAGTTTTATGATTATTAGAAACATAATCGTAAACTTTACAACAAAAAGACTTTGACGTGTTTTTGGTATCCTTCGTGAACGCACACGCTTACAAAACATATGTCACCACACAAAGCATAGTGTAGATAAAAGCCTAATATCGATGCCTGATATACATACTAGTTATGTCAATTCCCTGAAACCAAGCTATGCTTGTGTTATTAGTGGGTAAAATTTGAGGCATAATGCTACCGCAGCCATAAAACACATGACAGCTAAGGTACATAGAGTCACTAGGTAAAATCGTGTTATTAAATAGAGACTTGCTCTAACACAATAAAGTACAATTCAGATCGTACAGTTATTATATTAACCTAGAATTTGACTCTCTTTTTATCGGATAGCTTTTCTCTCTTCTGAACACTTTTGGATTGTCTTCTTTTAAAGAAGAATCTAATTTATTTGTATATTTAATTACCAGTTTAGTATCAGGCCCAACAAGACGGATCGTTGCGGACTTCTAACTTTATACCTAAGCGCGGAGAGCTCTTGGCCTTACGCCTCCTTATTATGTAAGTAGTACTCTCCTTTAACAGTACAGACTAGCAGTATTTTCAAAAAAGGAACATACTGCGTTTAACCTTTGCCATGAAACAACTTTAAAATTATTGATAATTTAAAGTTAATTTATAGATATATATATAAAGCTAATTTAATGCAATTCTCTCTTTTAAATCTATTAAAACTTACTATTTAATAAAATATATGAGTATTTTAATATTTTGGTCATGACAAATTAATAATTTCACTACTTCTCGAACTTTAAAAACGAAAATAAATAAATGACAAAGTAAAACTTGAGTCACTTATGAATTTTTGGTTCTGTCCAACGTTTTACGTTTCAGAAAGACACTTGGAAGGTTGGTTTCAATTTTTATTATATTATAGTCTACCGCGTTTCTACCACAGAATATTACTTCTTATTATGATGAATGTCTTTGATTTGTACTAACTTAGATCCACATATATGTATACATATTAAGCATGAACTATTATGCAAATCAGAGTTTTAAAATAAAGAAAAACGACATTTTGAAAAGCATATTCATCAAGTCTACTAACTACCAAATCGCAACACGTAAAATCGCATCCATTCATTATTCATCAATAACGAAAGGAATTAGTCGAGACTATCATGCAGTATTTTTTTGTTTCAGTATAGTATAAAAGGTACTTGTACATTTTGACTACGGACGAGTGTTGGCTGCGAGCTGTGGACCATTATGTGACCTGCGCCGCTTGCAGGCTGCGTCTGTGATGCAAAATAAATGATATAAAAGCAACTTCACATATATGTAAACTGTATAAGTACATAAAAGTTAGTAAGGCACACCGAACTATATCTTTTTTAGTTAGCTACACTAGACAAGTACCTAGTGGTTCTTATCATAATGTAATTCTAAAGTTGATTGAAGGCAAGTCTGAATCTTTCATAAAGTGTTAACAATTTATAATTATACTTTTACAAAAACTGTTGTGACAAATGCTTAATTATGTTAGCTCGGGTTACTAATAAAACGAAGATTTTTGTCAGAAGTGAAAGTTATATCTATTCAAAAAGTTAAGTTTTTGCTGTCGAGAATGTTTTAAGAGAAACATTATACTAAAATCTACATATATAAAACTGTTAAGTTGGTTTGTGTACGCTTCAAAAACTCAAAAATATACAAAGATGTATACGTGTTGTCTACGTGTACGGATTATACGCTTCAAAGATGGTTTTAATATTTTTTCGCGTTAGTTTGAATCCTCATTTCTCATCAATACAACCACAATGTGCCACAGCGAAGCATGGCCTAGATATCATCTTTCAGTAAGCCAGTATTATAGATTGCATATATATTACACACGAGAACGACGCGGAGATATTAAAAATTTAGATAAATAATAGTTGTGTGCATGCACACCAATGTGTTAAGATTGGTAATGATTTTGCTTTTGATAAACAACAACAAATGAGGCTGCACGTTATATCCAACCTACATCATCCTATAAAAATACGACTTAGTAAACTGTTTTTGCTTAGTGACTACGTGAATCTAACACCAGAGCTTGTGATTTCTTCTTAAAAAATGATTTTAAATAGAAATGCCAAAAATACTTAGGCCCGTTGTTTAAAAGACGTCTCAATTATCGGTTGAACTCTGATTATCTGAAATTAGTTTTAAGTTCAGATCAAATTGAAGCGTCGATCTTATTATAGAACACGTTTTAAGTTTTACTCAGTTGATACTACTACTTTCAAGTATTGATTTGAACTTACAGTCTGTTCTCAATTACGTTTCCGCATGATCGACATTATTATTCCGTATTACGCAGCAAAAATGGCTAGATATAAGCTGTAACGAAACATGCAAGTTATTTATCAACACTTGTCATATTATACACGGTTTTTATTTTTATATTTATAATTTTTTTATTACTAGAATAATATTATACTTTTAACACAAACCAAAAGGCTGTGGTGATTTTAATTTAAACAAGTACTGTGTGTAAAATGTGAATTTCTGTGAATTTAATATCAATTAAAGTAAATTAAAATGAATTGATTATGTATGACAAGTAATTCTTTCGTAAATAAAGTAAATTTTCGTAATTATTCAGAACACGTTCATTTCCCCTAAAATGTCCTAGAAATCACTGCTTGAGACTAGTTTTAGCTTGTTTTACGTAAACATAGATCACATCTGTCAAAATCTATACCTGTGTAAAGATTTTGACATATCTAAACATCGTTCTAATATAAGCTATCAATCACTTGAGTATGGATCGGTGAATTTTGTTTTCAGTGACGTTCAATAATAAAATGTCGACTTAAAATTAGTTTTAAGACTAGATTCACGACTGAGACAGCTTTTAAAATACGGGTCTTAGATCTCGATCAAGAAATATTTTATGTGTATCGTAAAGTAAGCAAAGAAAGTGTAACTCAAAAGTAATTCTCGATTCGAAAGCGTGTCGAGGAGTTAACCTTTAAATTGGAGTGAGTGATTTCAATACTTTTGGTATTTTTTACCATTCTCAGATTTTTTTACCTTAAAGATGAAGTGTGGATAGATACAGCCTTGGCCAAAAGTATTAGGCACCCCAGAAAAATGCACAATTCATGTTTACTGATTGAACAATGAATAAATGCTTATCTTAGATAGCATGCCCGGGTCACAAATAACTTCCTAGAAAAGCAAGCAGCTATCTGTTATGATCATAAAACACCTGGTGACTGAAAACAAAGGATTTGATATTATGCGTTCTTATCAGTCAATGTTTGGTCACTAGTGTTCAGGACTCTAACGAGTAAACAAGCTTTTATTTCTAATATAGTGATTAAAATGCCGGAAAGAAGTGAAATTAGTTTGGAAAACCGAGTAAAAATACAACTTTTCCATGAACAAGGGAAGTCGCCAAAAGAAATTGCTAAGTTAGTGATATGTTCGCATTGCGCTGTGCAATCTGCTGTCAAACGGTTTGCTGAGACTGGCAGTCACGCTAATAAACCAAGAACAGGCAGAAAACGTGTGACTTCGAAGCGCGAGGATAGAAAATTAATACGCGAATTTATGAAAGATCGGAACAAAACATCATCAGAGCTTGCTGCTACTTTGTCCGAAGAGGCTGGAAAGCCAATAAGTGGTCGGACCACCAGAAGAAGACTTGGAGAAGCAGGCTTAAAAGGATGCAAAGCCAGAAGAAGCCCTGGCTTTCAGAAGCTAACAAAAGAAAACGACTTGAATGGGCTCTACGGCATCAATATTTTACTGAGGAAGATTGGGCCAATGTGGTATGGTCTGACGAATCTAACTTTGAGTAAGTAAATTTTACTGCTTTTATTATTAATAATCATGGACAGTTATTTATTTAACTAAAATAATAAAAGTTAAGGCAGTTTAAAAAAAAGTGTTTTTTCTTTTTCCTTTTTTCAACAGATATTTGGAACGCCAGGTGTGACCTTCGTGAGGCGACGTGTGGGCGAAGAATACCATCCAGATTGCGTCGTACCGACAGTAAAGCATGGAGGAGGTAGCATAATGATCTGGGTCTGCATGGCTAGTGATGGGGTTGGCGAAATGTTTGTTTGCGAAGGTCGTATGAACAGCGAAAAGTACATAAATTGCTTGAAACTGCGCTTATGCCTTCACTAACGAGTATTTTCGGCGATACCAACTTAGAGGGAGTTATATTCCAGCAAGACAATGCACCTTGTCATAAGTCAGCGACTACGATGCGTTGGTTTACTGAAAACAACATTGACTTCTTTGATTGGCCAGCGCAGTCACCAGATTTGAACCCAATTGAACATCTTTGGAGCATTTTGAAACGCAAGATTAAAGAGCATAGTATCACATCAAAAACGGCATTAAAAAATGCGTTAGTACAAGAATGGCATGCCATTACAAGGGAGGATTGTACTAAGCTTGTACGCAACATACCAGCTAGAATTAGTGCAGTAATTAAATCCAAAGGTGGACCGACTAGATTTTAAGTTTTTTTCATTCCTTTTTGTGAATTTTAATGGTAATAAATACATTCAAAAAGTATAAGTTGTTTTTTTCCATTATTTTAAGTAAAATGTAGGGTGCCTTATACTTTTGGCTGAGGCTGTATATGTATATTATATATAATGTGCTTTTACACTTGCAGTATGATTATATTATATTAGAAAGCTAGATACTCATGTATTTGTTATATACTTACGTTAATAACCTGAGGAGGTTTCTGCTGCGAGACTATCACGAACTTCTGCGGTGGAGGTGTTGACGGAGCAGGTGACTGAGGCGCGGGTGATGCACTGATCACAACGTTACGACTGGCCACCGTTTCTATGAGTAAAAAAAAGTAGAAAGAACTATAGTGTTAATGGTAAAAAGTTCGGCCTTCCAGGGAAAGGCAGTTGCTTATCCCTTCCCAATCCATCCACATGCTTTTGCATTTTAATATAATCCAATATATGCTGCAATATGAACAAGTCATAATGAAATAATATAATCTCAACGTGAAAATCTACTCTCTCCTTGCTTTGATTTTTTATTGACTTGATTAATGTTGTTAAATCAATACATTTTTTATATTCACATACCCACAGTCTTCGGTGTGTGTGTGATATGCGACTGCTGCGGAGAAGGTGCTGATGGCACGAGTGGTGGGGTGCAAGTAACCACCGCGACTGCACCACCACTACCTCCAGCCGACGGTGACGATCGGATTTTAGCCACAGCTTGATGCAAACTTGGTCCCAAGTACCCGTAGTCACGTCTGCATTGATTATATTTTTGTTTAATGTATGATAGCGCTTTGCAACTACAAGACCACAACACCACAGGGTTTTGTGATATGTATTTTTTTTGGATAATAAAATAATACCCTATTTTCTTTTTTTGTAAACCTATCAACGTTTAAGCATGAAAGCGTCACAAAAAAACAAGTATACGTCCACATTAATCGCATTTTTATTTGGAACAAAAGAATTTTTTTTTGATAATAATAACAATATTCTACTATTACGTATACTCTACGTATACTAAAGATTCGAACTGTCTAGTTACTAGACTGCCTCACAATGTACTAGCAATAATCTCACTTTATAAATCACCATCTCTTAGGCAACTTGATCCCTTCTTTCTGGGTCGGATTTTATGAACGTGGTGATAGTGGGTGATTTAAACATTAATATTGTATCGACTACCTGGCTCAAAATGCCCAAGAATACTTAAACCTTAAAGCATTGCACGGATTCCTTCCAACACACACATGCTTACACGTGACAAAAACTGCCTTGAATAAAAAATGTATTCTTGAAATCAGACAAAAGCTGTATGACATTGATTTTTGACACCTTGATTAGTAATTATGCTCTCATTATTTTTGACATTAAATATACACGAACTCCTAGTAAAGTTAAAACAAAGCGAATAAAAGGTTATTATGAACGGGTGTCATCGTCTATTGCTGAGTCAGATTTCAGTTTCGTTGTAAATGAGAGGGATGCTAATCTTGCCGCAGAACACTTAGTTACTATTATCGAGACAGCTATTAAACGGAATACTTCAGTAGTACACATTTCCTCAAAAAAATGAATTTTGAAACCATGGATAACACCGGGATTGCTTCGCTGCATTCGCAACAGGGATAACATGGGCCGTATGCTAAGGAGCGACACTGAGAACTATAATCTAAAAGTAACGTATATTAGATATCGTAACTCCTGTAATTTTATTTTATAGGCGTTCTTAGCTTCAGTAACTGAAGCTAAGAACGCCTATAAAATAAAATGAATGTGCAAAGGCTAAGTCTATCATTAAAGCCACCTGGAACGTAGTAAAAAGTATTATTAATACTGAAACTAAAGCTAGGCCCGCCATTGAGCTACTCAAAAGTGAATCTGATCCGTAAGTTTCAGTCAACAAGATAAACACTTTCTTTGCGATCATTAGCCGCCTAATCCGGCCGCCTAACTCACTTGTACTGTTAGCAACGGATGAATCCCAGGTAGAAAGCATTATTCAAGGTCTAAGTAAGGACTCTGCAGTGGGTTGGGATGACATTTCCTCACACTTGCTAAAAAGATGCTCTCACATTTTAGTCCCTCCCATAACTCATACATGTAACGTTGCTAACGAAACAGGCGTTTTTTTTAAGCCATTTATAAGAATGGAGATAGAGACAGTGTCAACAACTACAGGCCTATATCTGTCTTCCCTGCTTTATCGAAGATCTTGGAAAAAAAATTGAATATGAGACTGACGAACTATTTAACAAGTCAGTCAGCGAGCAACCAATTCAGATTTAGAAACGCGAAATCGACAGAGGACGCCGTAGCATCTCTTATAGACAATCTAATAGACAAGATGGATAACAAACAGAAGTTTATTGGCATCTTTCTTGACCTCGCCAAAGCTTTTGATACTGTCACTATATCCAAACTAATTACTAAAATTGACGGCCTTCCTCAATTCTTGTTCCAACACTCTTTTTAGTTTACATTAACTCACTCTGCAACCGTAGCATACCAAACTGTTCTATCTTTACTTACGCCGACGACACAAATATAAATAGGGCTATTTATCCACGGCTTTAGCTGGCCAGACGGCTCTTCAGCTGAGTATGCTATAAGGAGTGTAATGCTCTGGCTCTCAAGTAATCTTCTAACTGTTGACATAAATAAAACAATGTACCTGGCCTCCACACCCACGACCAGTACTCAGTTAAAGGCTCACAATTGTCAACCTAATAGCAATTAATCTTGTAACTGTAAAGGCCTCGTTAGGAGTGATAACATTAAATACCTCGGCATAATAATTGACAACCATGTAAACTGGCGTGTGCATATAAATAATTTGACGTCCCGCATTTGCAAGCTTATATGCGTCTTCAAAAAACTTCGTCACTCAGCAGAACATGACATTCTTAAAATGGTCTAGAACTCAGTCTGCCAGACTATTGTGTTATACTGTATACCCGTTTTGGGGAGGTGCTGTCAGAACGATCTTGAACGCGCTTGCGAACTGCCGCTTGAACGCGCGCAACCAGCAGTAATAAAAGTCATGACCTTTAAACCTTTTAAATATCCCATCACTCGCTTTTACAATGAATGTAAACTCCTCGCTGTTCGTAAAATATTTGTGCTCCAAATGGTACTACGAAAACACAATACTCTATAATTTGATCCAGAAAGCATAAGAAGACACACGCAGACCATATAGAGTTTGCGCAACTGTCACTTTCAGAAGCGCACTTGCAAAGCGGCATTTTCGTGTTATAGCAGGACATCTTTACAACACAATAAATTAGTACTGCAGTATATATCATCTTTCAAAATTCCAAATTAAAATTAAGATAACTAACTGGCTACTCAAACAAGATTATGAACAAACGGAAGCGCTAATTAAACTTATATCTCTATGACATTCACACACGCACACACACACCCACACACACACACACCCCAAGAACAAGACTATGAACAAACGGAAGCGCTACCGTGGGTACCAAAGCCAGACTATACTGTGTAATTAACCTAAGAAAATCAAATTAATCAAATTAATAAATATTATTATTAATATTACTACATTCACACAACGCCATCTAGTCCCAAACTAAGCAGATCTTGTACTATGGTATTTACTTGTAATCATCCGACAAATCGGGTGGTTGTCGCAGCTGTCGTACAACAGGTGCAAGTACTTTTAGCAATTGGTGTTTGAGATTTCCAGCAGCGAGTCTGTCCGCGCCGCCCAGGCCGCTCAGAGCGCCCTCCACTCTCTCGCCCAACCACCGTACACGTGGTAAGATGAACACCTAAAAATAAAACAAAATTGTTTCTTGTTATCATATATACATTCTGGTTACATTTTATTTCTGTATTGTGCAGCTAGTTATCAGTTTTTTTTTATTATTTTTAATATATCATGGCATTTTTCAATTTTTTACTATAATTAAGAAATTTTGGCGCAATGTCTCTCAACAAAATAGTATGATATTAATTTTGAGCTTAAAATTAATATTCAGTGTATAATTTTATTTTTAAGAAGTTACTTTATTATTATTTACTTCTTATACTAATTATTATGTTTAGTCCTATTAAGACGTACATTTTAAGTAATCGTAGTTAACGTTACTAGGTACTAAATATTGACAAAATTAGGCATATTTAAATTTTTTCATAGTCTTCCTCAGGGCTACAACTACTGCTGCAACAATTTCGCGCATCTTGCCCTAGATAGCTGTACCTACTCCAATGACGTGTAATAATATACTGACCTTAACCACCTCAGGTCCCAATTCTGCTAATCCTTGGACAGCGCCATACAGAGAAGCAAGGGGCGTTTTCTCAGATTCTTTCATTGTTGTAACCATGGATGGACCTACCCCTGATTCATTATTAGTCTGAGAAGGACACTGCAGAGCTTTAGCGAATAACCTATAAGTTTAAAAACAGTTTTTAAAACGACATGTTTTATAATGATTACACCTACTGACGTATATCTTGTGAATATAATCACAATTGGCAATATATTTATCCGTAACATAATTTCTTCTATTCAAAATATACTTTGTGATGATGATAAAATCCCAACTATCCTGTCGAGGCTTTTTTTAATTATCCCTAACTGTAGGCGTACTTGGAAAAATGAACATAAAAATTTCAAACATTTGGAAATTTTATATGCAATTTTTACTGCCTATAAATATGCAAAGAAAATCGTAATTAAAACGAAAATGCCCACAGATTGTGCAGTACATATTTCAGTTATTCACGAATAAAATTTATGTCATAAGTATCTACTGTAATTTCGAACTAACAAGTTGCAGTTGTGTTGACAAAGTATCATTCTTCCCTCCTAACAGATTCTGCCATATCAGCATGAGATAGTTCTAGCAGTAGGTACCTATCTATGTCGGTATGTCATGTAATTCAATGTCGGTAAAAAGTTACTTAAAGTTCTTACCTCGTTACTCTTGTTTGAAGATTATTTGTTGATGTGTTGAAAGTTTTGCATATTTGCGCCATGAGCCGGGCAGCGAAATCACGAAGAGCCCAGTGATTATCCATTTCGGGACGCAAGCACAATTGTCGCGAAACTATGCACGTAGATACGGATGGGATCAATTCATGCAACTGTATAATTATAATAAATTAATTAATGATTCAGCCAAATATAAGCATGTTCAATAAAATGACAACAAAAAACTGTTTAACAAAAAGGTTTTCATTTTATATATTTAAAATTATACACAGTTGATTTGTGGTAATTTTGTAATATATTTTTTATCTGTATATTATTATTGATGGTGTATACAGATACAAAATATTTCTTGAATAAATAATATATTTTTCTAAATATGGGCTTATACTACAAAAAATATTCGAAATCTAGCATTTCTATCATATAATAGAATTTGGTGCTTTTTTCGGCACTGCTAATTTTCCAAGTTACCACTTCCGCTTCCAAAAAAACCATCAATTCACAGCGTATAATTGTTCATTTTAGTCACATTAGCTTTTTGGTAAATATTTAATTGCATTTTAGAGATGTACTTTCATATAAACCAAGTTAAATATATATCTCTTACATATTTCTCCAAATATAATGACTGATTGTCAAGCAACGCTTTAACCATTCTCATCAAATAAATAAGCAGGGCAAGATTATTTTGAACCACATTGACTTTGACGCCTTCAGAGATGAATGTGCACATTCGTGGCAACATTTCATGCAAACCTGGATCACAGGACAAGGATTGTAAAGCTTCCTAAAAAAGAAGAAACACAATTATTATGATTCACATAGAAGTAAATTATTTAGATTAGCAAAGTAGATTAAAAGTGCTAAAAAGGCAGACAATTGGTAAAGTGTTATTTTCTGACTGCAGGAAAGATGGAATATACTGGTATGAAACAAGTAATAATTTTAAAAAAATCAACCAGACAGCAAAAGGACAATTTAAAAGTAATATACAAAAAGGCAGAAACATGGCCAAGGCACAAAAATGTGCTATGAAAAATGTTATGAAACCAATTTAATATTCCTTATAGGTACTTAAATATACATATATATATATCTGTAATCCCCTTTAATTTTTTTTGATTTTTTATCAACTTTTACTTTACTTTAACTTAAACCTTACTATTAAAAAATTAGCCATTTTATTTTTACTTTCAAAAACCCATCAACTGTCAAAATCCATTCAGCCATTTAGAAGATACAAGGTAATAAAAGAAATACATAAACAAAACATAACCCTACCTTGGCAGTCGGATAAATAGAACTTTAAAATAGGTATAGTTTGTTAGGGAACAGTTAGAATAAAACCATAACCATTTGTATGTAACCATAATATATATTATGTTAAAAAATCGTATTGCATATATTTTAATACTCTTATTTCACCAGGTTTAATAATTCATTATGAACCTTAAAAGATATTTTTAAAAACTTTAAGCCGTGGCTGTTAACTCTTGCTAGTAGTACCAGAAAAAAATAACTATTAATAGTGCATTAGCAATAATAACAAAAATAAGAACTTCACACAACCGACGACCGGACCGGAGGGTTTAGCAGTCACTCACCACAAGACTAATAGGCCTGTCAGTTAATTTGGAGTTATATAAATTAAATCTAAGATTTAACTTGTATTTGTAACTGTGCAAGTTGAGAAATTTAATATTGTTTGTCCTTGCATTATTACTTTAGTTTTACACCCTCTCCCCATTGGAAACTCATGATTGGAAACCAGTTTCCAAAATATAATTATTTCTCTTTTATCGAAACCTGGTTTCCAATAAAGAAAAATAATTAAGTTTTCGAAACTGTTTACCAACACAGAACGTTGGATCTTCTTTTAAGACAGCCACACTACCTCTTTTTGAAGTGTACAAAATTTCAGAAAGTAACCACTGCTCAAACTAAATCTTATATTTAAAATTCTCGTGTCACAATGTTAGTTACCATAGTCCTCTGAAACGGCTGGACCGATTTTTATGAAATTTTGTGTGCACATAGGGTAGGTCTGAGAATCGGCCAACATCTATTTTTCATACCCCTAAGTGACAAGGGTGACCCACCCCTAAATTTTTTTTGTCAATATTTCCTAGAAATAATGTATATGGCAAAACAACGTTTGCCGGGTCAGCTAGTATAATATAAACAAACCAATTCATTTAGAATTAAATAATCAGCACTTGATATCTATCATCATTACTGATAGTTGGACGACTTTTTGTCATTGTACATAAAAAACTTGTAAGTCGCCAGGAAATTATTTCTAATCGAGGATTGTGGGTTGGAAGAGTTTCGAAAGAAGATCCAACCTTCTGAGCTGGTAAACAGTTTCGAAAACAGGATTACTTTTCTTTATTGGAAACCAGGTTTCGAGTACAGAGAAATATTTCTGTTTCGGAAACTGGTTTCCAACCATTACTTTCCAATTTAGCCCAATGGGTTTTACAGGATCTAATATTATTTTATGCAGACGACGTTTCGTTCGTTTTACATTGAATTTAATTTTTTGTTAGTGATATATTTCCGTAATATACAGTCTATCGAGAAGTACTGTCTTCCGCATGAAGCCCTTAATTCAGCTGCCTAACGTGAGCCTCTGAAAATGTTGGTCCATACTCTTAGCAATCACCCATTGGCTGATATGAAATCGGCACAATGATTGTCCAGTCCGCATTCCAAATGTCCATAAGCTCGTGAGCAAAATACAGTACATTTTTTTTATTTTTTAGGCCTTAAGAGATTCTCGTCATGAGGAATTATAATGTCAACAATCATTGGCCAGCGTTCTAATCGGTCTAACACCACTATGTCAGGTTTATTAACAAGTCTTTTCAGTGATAGATAGAGCGATCCTAGTACAATGTTGCACCGCCATTATCCAGAACTGAGTCAGGCATATATCTGTGGTATTGTAAATGTACAAGGTTATATTTAAGAGCAAGATGCTAATAGATTATCCCGGCCACTTGGTTATGTATATGCAAGTACTCGCCGTTGGCAAGACGAGAACAGCCGGAAACTGTATGCTTAATGTTTTTTTCGAAACAATGACATACAGGACCAATATGTATTGTCGCCACAATACATATTGGTCCTGTATGTCATTGTCTCTCCACTGTATACCTCTGATAGCTATGTGTCAACTATGTGTACAACTTAATCTGTAATTGCACAGACAAGACGTTCAGTTTCAGAGAAGAAGTCACCAAATCATAACCAGGAAACAGATGCCATTACATCTATATTTGCCCCATTTAAGGCTCGATAAACACGTCCATGCAGCTCTTTGCCTTTAAATATTTCTTTCTTTCAATATGATCAGTAAGACAGTCAGATCAGTATTTCTTGGCATACTTATTATATATATGGTGCATTCGGTGCATAGTAAGTAAGTAGTGTACAAACTCTATAGCAGATCAAATGAGTTTATACTCGTAGATACTCGCCATAACCTCAAGATTAAAGACATAGACAAAGAATGGGAAGGCAAAGAACCGCTTGCTATATACACATCCATATGCAGCACTGAGTCCTTTTATAATTTATGTAACATTATTTAATAGTCAATAATGAAGAGCTGTTTAGTGCCTCATTAGTAATTAGAGTTGTTTGATTATGTCAGTTATTATCTTTACTCTCAGAATGGGCTTTAGTAATTAGTATAATACCGGAAGACACCTATTGGCCTGTTATGTTCAGTATCTGTGGCACTACTTAAAGAGCAAGTTACTAGCACTGCCCGGACACCTGCAACTCATGAGTCCATAGTCATACTCATGTCCATAGTTTTATTGTTATATTGTGAATATTTTTATCATACAGTTATTTATGACACTGTAAAGAATTAATAAGGCGTAGTACTTACTGCACGTCGACCCTCATCGCTACCAACACAAGCTTCAGTAATTTCTTTATAGTATAATTGTTGTTCCACACTCAATTCATGAGTTGCAAGCTGTTTCACATGAACTGATTCTGATGCTTTTAAACGAGCTGCTTTGCCACACATAGGCTTACCTAAAAAATAAATTATATTTCGTTGACTTAATATAACATAGTGAAATTAGCTATTACATATTACTATTCTCAGGTTTTGTTAGTAAGGATTAGAAGTTGTTAGTGATATTATTATTGTGGGCCCCTTAAACACAACAAACACTAAAAACACCAAACAAGAAAAAACTTAGTTATTAACATACATTCCTTATGAGTCCAACTTTAGAAGCAAAAGGTATATGTTAGTTCATCACATCAACAGTCTTTAATAGTCCACTGCTGGACATAGGCCTCTCCTTAGATACCACACTGGCCAAACAGGTTGGTATAGGTTTTGTGTCAAGTTTTCCTTCTTTTGCAGTGCTGGTGTCCTGCATTGTTTTGTGCCCTTAGTCGGCTCTTACGACACCCACGGGATGAATTGGGGTATTGACATTCCATATTCTTAATCCGTCACTACTAAGGACAGTATTATTAATTAAAATCTTACCTGCAGCATCTTTATTAGTAGGCTTGCTTAATTTACTTATAGGATCAACAGATTCCAGTTTCTGTGCTTCTTTAGATAATGGTGGAGGGTTTTCTGGGACTGTGGGTTGTACACCATCTACACTTAACCAATGTGCTCGCACAGATACATCCAGTGGGATTTTTGGGGGAGGAGCTGATAAAATTTCAGATAGATCAACCTCTTTCTCTTCAATAAAATGCAGTTCTCTGCCCCCACCAGAAGCAAATCTGAATGGTAGTGAGTCTGGTTGGATGAAACCATACTGGCACTGAAACATAAGAATTGGATTGTAATGATGTAAGGAAAACAGACAATGACTAAAATTATATGATAGAAGGATATGATTTCAAAGCAACATTTTCTATAAAGTTCTTTCTAATAAGGTCATCAAGACAATAGGTATTTTAAAATATTTTTTATGTTACCGTCTGCTTATAGTAAGGCTTCAGGAGTGCAACACCTTCAGTCTCACTTATGAAGGACACCAAAAGCTGAATTTGGTGTCTGTCATAAATGAAGCATAGGTTTATCTTCAGACAATGGAGTATTTCTTCAATGGATCAAAGGACATAGCTATTCATTCTGCAACAATGTAGCTGCTGATGAACTGGTAAGAAAGGGATCTAGTACATCAATAGAAGATGGATTAGACAACAAAATTGTGAACTGTGCTTAAGCACCTGGGAAGCTGTAGGTAATCTAAACTGGTGCTAATGGAGATCGCACCACATATAACTAGGAGACTGCTCAGTCTTAACTGATTCAACATTGTAATAGATGTTGCTATCATTACAGACCATCTAGCCCTAAACCAACACCTATTCACCATACAACACATAGCCCTCTTTGCAGAGGACATGGATGGAACAACCAACCTTATTATCTAGGAGTGCAGAGTAGTAGTTGCAGAGTAGGCAAGATAATTTTGAGGCTCAGATGAAAAATATCTACGAAAAATTACTAGTAAACATACCTCAATATTTTTGATTTTTAAAGCATTATCAATATCGGTTATTGAGAGCTTTTGCCTTTTTGAATGATGCATAAACTTCATACTGTCTTGAACAATGACTTTTAAACGGAAAGTAACATCATCGGCAAGCTCTTTTGCAGCATCATCACCTAAGGCTCCAATGCCAATACTTTCTGCGATAACTTTCATGGAGTCCAAGGACAGTGATGACCCATAAACAAATTCCGAATCACCCATTTTGCTATTTACCAAAATGCGAAATACCGAAATGCGTGTACGTAATCACTTTAGATGTCAATATATTGCCGACGGATAATAAACATTTCCATGTTGTTTTTTATAGCTTAAATCTCACAGAGCGTGTACGTCAATAAACCAGTTAGTTACAGTTATTATCTCTCATTGAACTAGTATAAATAAGAAAAAGATGTTTTTTCTTATTACGCTTTAAAACTATACAAATTTGTTTGGCATATACAAAAAAAAATATTTCAACCACGATGACAATACATCAATACAAAAATATGACAATAAATACAATAATATTCATGTCATGTCAAATCGGGTCATTTACAGTGTTGCCAACTCCCATAAACACGTGTTGCTGGGTTAATTTCAAATGTCGCCAAAATTTTCTGATAAAAATTACACGGCTGCCGAGACTCGGCAAATGTTCATAAGCTTGTAAAGCAAACGCTTGGATGTCATTTACAGGCTTGCGACTTTTCGAGTGTGTTAGTGTGTTTTAGACGGGCAAAAATAGCAGACGTGGACGTTGAAGTTGTATCGGCTATTGCGTTTGGCTTGAATTTAAAAAAAATAGAAACAGCGACACCAAATACACTGAATAAAAAATATTCTAGCGTTACTGATGAATTAGTAAAGCATTTGGACTTAACGTTATTGCCCGACTGCTCAATTATTGGCAAAATCAAACTAAAATATCTTTATTTCTATTTTTTTATTTTATTTAAAATAGTCTTAGATTCTAAAGTCATCGATCAACACATATGTGTGTTGATCTATGACTTTAGAATCTATAATAACTTTTAAAGTCCTTCCGTGCGTGTAGCATCAGGTGATTTCTGTTTGATTCTGTCGCGCATGCGCATAATTGGCTTGGAAATGCCACGACGGTTTTTTACTGTTTACAATATTAATTATTGAATATTTTTAAGAATTAGCACGCGGGCAAATTAAATTAGCGCAAAGGCAATTTTTTTACGCTTGGTAGAGTAAAATATAATCATTTTTCAAAGAGATATGGCTATTTTAAGTAGAGGAAAATTGCAAATTATATTTCTATTTTTCGGGCTTATAAATTAATTAACGTAGGTCGAAAGGGCTAATTGAGATCTATAAAATGAGATTTTTTTGTTTTGAAATTTTAATATCTGCAGGCTGGAACGTGCCCGGTCTGTGGCTGACTGAATACCGAACGGCGAGCACCGGATGCTGGAGCGGGACAGCGCGGTGCAGCAGCGGGGTCGCACAATCACAAAAAAAAATATTTACCCCGATTAGCTGTACATGCGACCGTCAGTAGCGGAGCGGGCCTATAAATATTGTATATAAAGATGTGATGTAGTATAGTCTTGTCACAACAATAGTATAATTAATTACTCCACATTGATACCACATTAGTAGTAGGTATCTATATTGTAACCGCACAAAGCCGGGGCGGATCGCTAGTTTATCTTTACCTTGAGTTGTTTCGATTAAGAATGTAAATTATTATATATTTATTAAAAATGAGATTTCAATGAAGTTCCAAGATTCAATTCCAAGAACTTCTAATACCTACCAAGATGTAACTTTTAATAATTTCCTATTCGTATTAGTGAGGCAAATCAAACTTCAAGACGTACGAATTTATTGAGAGAGATATTGTAGCGTACTTAATATGATTTAGTAAAATTTAAAATGTCAATTAAAAATGCAACATTAATACACATGTGGTTGTGTAGCACACAGAATGTGTGGAAACAGAGGCAGGCAAACAATATTTATAGTACTACATTGTATACGCCTGATCTTTTAGGGGACGTGATCATAGTACATAATAATAAAAATGTTTTTATTTCTTAATAAAGTTACATTAGAAACATAAATGAATCTTAAATAAATTATGAACTACAGTTAATAACCGCTGATTTCTAAACTAGGTTTAATACCTGTATTTTAAAAATCAGTGCCCCTGTTGTTTTTGATAGCCTCAACACAATAGAAATTCTAAAATTCACCCTCACACTTATTCAAAATTCATAACACATATTCATAACACATATATACACGAAATTTCTCGCCTTACCCTCATCCTAATTTGTCATCATCCCCATCGAGAGGAAATTCTCGTTATAAGGAACGGCGATATAAACAATCATTGTGCGGCCCTCTAATCTATCTATCACCACAATATTAAGCTTCCTGGCAACAATAGTCCTGTCTGTGATAATAGATCGATCGCAATGCAACTGCCGATCGAGCCTGACCATTCTTGAATTCCGCGTCGGGCACATACCAGAAGGCCAATTCTCGTAATTAAAGTTCAGTCCACAAATTAAGAGATATGTACATGTTCAGTCTCAAAAAGTATCATAAAAGGTATTTTTGTAGTGAAATAGTAAAGTATTACTAAGACCAGCAGATTACCGATTCTAATTTCGGTTACAATACGATATAATCACATTACATTCAACGTTAGATGTTTAATACTTTACTACGAAAATACCTTTCATGACGGTTGTGAGATCGAAAGTTGATCGGAACCGAATTGAGACCTAACTTTTATTACGAGTATTGGTCTTCATTAGTATGGCACCTCTAAATTTGCAAGTTGGTTTTTAAGGGCAAGCTGTTGGTGTTTTTCATTATTTTTATTATTTAATATTGTGTTCTAATACTAAATCTATCGTCTACGGGAAGATATGTGTTATGATCTCAAAACTAATAGATTGTTTATGGTCATAGTTGACAACTATGGTTTCTTCTTTCTAGAAAGGATCGTTTTTATTTGAAAATTTCTTGGTCGACCTACTTTGATGGTTGGAAGTTGGATTGAATGCCAATGTCAAAATGACCAACATTATGGAAAAAACTACCAAGATTAAAACTTTATGTCTATATTGGTAGTTTTCTTTTTAATTTTGTTTTACTGATAAATTAAATTGTAAGTTATTAAATACGCCAAAGCCACTCTTTTGATAATTTGTTCAATATATGTTTTCCAGAATTGTATATAATATAAAAAGGTAGAGAGTGGGTGAAGTATAAAAACGATCATCGTGTTAACAGCGTTGCTTGATAACTAGAAAAAGTTGAAGAGATTAAATTATTTCAGACGTTACCAAGACTGAAATTAATCTTAGATTTTTCTCTATTTATTAGAAAAATGGTTTGTTTGTGATAAAGTTCAACCAAAAAAATAGTAATAAACTTTGAAAATTCATTTCAAATATTTTGTAGGTTTAGAAGGTTTTAATAATTTTAGGATGTTTACCCTGATCTTAAAATGACGAACACCGAATGCTAATCCGTCGTCTGCCCCACGCGATTTTTTCATGTTTAAGAGCATTCGAGGTTTATTTATACAAATAGTTTGGTGATTAGTTCTTTTAAAATGTATAGAAGCAAAAAAGACGTAGATAAACTTGTAGAGAATTTACTATCGAAGTTGTCTGAAAAGGAGGTGAGTGAAACACTTCACAAATACAATCTTCGTCTTTACGATATGTGACTTATACTGTAAAACTAATATTATTTTCAGTTTCAAGCACGAGGTTATTCTGTTGCTCATAAATATTACGAAGTGGGGGACTATGCGAGTTGCCAAAAATATGTTGAAGAATACCTCAAGCATAAAGATAACAATGCGGCGGCTTTTAAACTTTACGGACAAGCTTTACATAAAATGGGCCAGAAAGAAAAGGCTCTTGAACAGTTTAAAATGTCTTTAGACTTTGATCCTTCTCAAACCACAATAATTTTGGACAGTAAGTAAATTCATTGTTGATAATTATCAGTTATGACGCCCAACGTCATAACTGAAATCTCAGTAGATGGTGTAGTTTTGTATCTATATATTCCTATCCGTGTATATTCATTAGATTTTGCAAAACTTATCAACTGCTTATTGTAAAAAATGTATTTATTTTGAATATAAGAAAAGTGAAAAGAATCTCATAAGAAATTACTACAAAAGTATACTAACATTTCAAAGAACATTTCAAACTCGCTTGTTATACCTGTGTTGGAGGCGTTCATATGCGGCGGTAGTCACATTCCATCAAGTGATCTGTCTGCTTGTCTGTCCTCTACATCATTTAAAGAAAAAATCTATTAAGAAATTTACTCTTAAATGTATATTATGTATTAGCTTCCTACCTGTGACAACATAGGTAGAAAATACCTACTTAATGACATTGAACCCTTTGTTTTGAATTATATTCCATTTTTTAATTGACATGATTTAATTTGTAAATAAAATTAATTGTTTTGTCAATTGCTCAGTGATAAGCTAAGGTCACATCTTTTAGTAAGAGAGTTAAAAAATAAAAACAGCATCTAACTACTAAAACTGTTTACATTATTAGATCCAAGAAATTAATAAAATGTTATTTTTACTTGACATAACTTGCATATAAAGTATGTGTATAACAATCACCTGTCTTTCGGTAAAAGTATTAAAAAGTATTTTGATCAACTTAAGCCATCCTTGAGAAGAAAAAAAACCAGAACACAATTCAGGTCTTGTCTATAAAATACTTTCCTCCCAAAATTGTCTGTACAGCCCAAACTAATACCACACTAAACACCCAATTAATTATTTTAAAATTAATTCATAATAGCTATAACATCATCATCATCAACAGCCTTTAAGTGATCATAATATAGTTATTGATTATTTACCACATAACTTATGAAATGCTTTCAAAGGGGTGAAGCATATTTTGATTTAAAAAACGAACGAGTTTGAACGAGTACTCATAAAGTGATTTTGCTTACTGTGTGTCTGACACATGGCAGCAACAAATTGACAATTATGTTAATTTGACATTATTTGTCCGTGTGGTGACGGATTAAGAATACGGAGTGTCACCACCCCTATTCATCCCCTGGGTGTCGTAAAAGCCGACTAAGGGGACAAACTACGCAGGACAACAGTGGCAAAGAGAAGGAAAACTTGACACAAACCCTATACCAACCTGTCTGGCCAGCGTGGTATAGTAGCCCAAAACCTCCTTTCTAAGGAGAGGCCTATATCCAGCAGTGGATTATTCAAGGCTGTTGATGTGATGTGATGTGATGTGTAACATTATTTTGGTAAATTTGTTCACTAATATTGCATTTTGTCATCATTTATTTTTCTTATCATTGATAAGAACATGGAATGCAAAAAGGAAAAGATAAAACATTTTAATTTAACTTAGTTTGATTAGTTAGTTATATCTTTGAATTGTCGTCCTCATTGACTTACCTAATCTTTTTTATATTTACGATAGCATCAATATCATCTCAACCAAAACACGTCCACTGCTGGACATAGGCCCCCCAGTTAATAATAAACAAATATATGTATGACACAACGCTAATATGAGGGATCATTTAATTGCTTTTCATAGATTAGGAGTTATAGACTTGCATGAGACTGTAATTAATAATATTCTCTAAAAATTATTGTTTAATTTTCTTATGATTCTATTGGTTTATATTGAATACCAATTTTTTTAATTGTATATCTTTGTTTCTTTCTTTTCACTTATCATTAATGGTTACATTACTATTCCCATGATTTTGAAAATGATCAGATCATGATGAGAAAATTATCCATTTGTATACCAACTACCTACATAGCATTGTATAACCAATATGAGTGTTACTTTGTTTCCACTATCCTTGCAAAATTACTACATTATATGTATATCAATTTATTTGCATTTGTAGATTAACCTTATGTGATCAGCAATTAGAACAATAATGAATTTTGATATCAATTTGGTAAAAGTTATATTTTTTTTGTTAAGGCACTGAATCATTAGCATTTATGCTATGCAAAAAATAGTTCAATGAAGAATATACAGATTAACATGAACATAGATTTTTCTTGAACAGAGTAGTTGTTTGTTAATTATCAGTATAGTATTTTTATTGACATCCAAAATGATTAAGTAGAAACAATGAGGTATAATTTGTTATTCTTTTCTGATAATGTGTTTTTCTCATGTTTTCTTTAATATGTGTTTTATTTCAGACTGGGAGGGTAATATTTGTTAAAAAAGTTTTTATTTTATTTTTTTTAGTTTGTGAACTATTGGCTGATGATGAAGTAATAGTGGATCCAAACAGAGCAAAATATTGGTGTGAAAAAGCTGAAGCTATATTCCCTAGACACCCAGTTACTTTCAAATTGCGAGAAAGACTAATTACTGCATCCAATTCCGATCCTGAAGCTCTTGTAGCACTATTAATGTCAGAATTGTCTGTAAGACCAAAAGATGTGTTAATTCATGCCCGCCTGCTGGACCATTACATAAACACTAATAACATCAAAGGCGCTTTTGACCATGCCTGTAATGTGGAATTTCATGACAATAGCTTCATAAATAATTATACTTGGTACAATAGCCTCAATAAACTTCTTAAAAATAATGCACATAATACTATGGATTGGCTTTACCAGTTACTTCTCCTTACAGTAAGGGAGCGTATTTGCTTATTAAGCATAACAGAAACACCTAGTGGTTTATCTCAAAGTCTAATTGAATCTAATGAACTTCTTCATGCATATGATCAAGCTATTGATAGTGTTGCTAAAACAGGTGCTGCATCTGGGTATGCAGAGTTTCATAAGGCATTATTACAACATCATAGAGGTCAATTTGCTTTTCACGCTGCAACACTTCTGTTAAAAAAGGCTAAAAAAGATCAGTTGAGCTGGCGAGATGCTACAACATTTGCCTCACCCTTGATGTTATCTGCATGGCAAGTAGTTCCTCTAGATCCAAAGGTCAATTGGATGAAGTCTGCCCCAGTAAAGCAAGTCTTTGCTGTCAAGCGCTGGTATACTGAAGGCTCATATAGATGTTCTCAGGCTGGTCATTATTTACTTTCATTCATTCAAGATAAAAATCAATCTTTCCTTGATCAAGTTTCGCAATGTTACTCTGGTACTCACTGGAGGGACAAATTTTACAAAAAGATGTTCCCAAATAAGGCTCATCTGGATAAAATGAAATCATCTTATATTGCCTCAGATGCATTTTACTCTCCAATACTTAGAATTCCTAGAAAAGCTGAAGTCGAAGCCTATGACCTTGATGCTCAAAAAGAATATGGCAACTCACTTCATCATTTTGTTTGGATGTTGTTACATTACAAAAACTTTTCAAGCTTTAAATGTGTACTTTTTGATATGCTTGATTATACAGCTGCAACTTGTGCACCAGAAACATTAAATAAATTGGATATCTATGCATTTCTCTATTGCACCACTCTCTCTGCACAACAGCAGAAGTCTAAAGAAGCCTCTTATGTCATCAGTGATAAACCACGCGTGCTACCCGCAAATATCACAGATTTATTATGTTCTCTCTCTCAAATGAAGTGGTGGGACTGTGCATATAAATTTAGCCAAAATGAACTTGGTACTGAATTGACAGATATTCGTGCAACATTGAGTCGTGGTATTGAGGTTATAAGGTGTATTGACAATCATGGCCTTGATCCTGAACTCTTATGCATATTGGGACGCATATTTGGTGAGCAAGCAGAACTGACTACTAGTGTTGATGCCAGAAGTCAACTGGAAGCAAGGGCTGGTTTATATTATCAGTCTGCTATACCTTTGCTAGAAAAACTGAAAAGCAAAATAGTGGAAAAAATCTTTGGCAAAAGAATGTTTTGTTATATCCATAAAGAGCTTGGCACCAAAGAATTAAATAATTTGATTGAAGAATGCAAGCTATACCTAGCTGTAACTCATTTTAATAACTGTGAGTATGAAAGGGTCATTGAAATGATTTCTAATTTAAAATCTCCACAAGCATATTATTATATTGCACAAACATACAAGAAAATGGCTTTAGAAGAAAGTAATTTATCCAGAGATATTGATAATAAATCTAAATTATCTATTTTACTGACTAAAGCAAAAGCTTTTGCTTTCAAAACCTTGAACAAACTTAAGGAAAATGATGCTAACAAAAAAGGTAATTTGTATACCAACAGTCAAGAACTAATTGAGGAGATTGAAACCCTTTCAAATAAAATAGAACCAGATTTGTTTGTTGATACAAATGATGGTGATGGTAAATATTCATCCGAAGAAAACTTATCAGCGATTAGTGAATATTTGCCGAATAGGACAACTCAAATCTTCCGCAACGTTAGCTCAACACCTAAAGCCACTAAAGCTAATACGACTAATTATCGAACAGCTATGGACACACAAATATTAGATAATACTAGAATGGATCAGGCTCAATTGGCTACAATAGAAAATGAAATAAAAAAAATACAGAAAAGGGATTCAAATATAAGTGACTTTATGGACCAAACAAAGAGCTGGTTCGAGGAGAATCGTAAATTGAGCAATGAAATAATAAGCACTATTCAAACTAACATGCAAAATACTACCGATCAGTTCAAATTACTTAAGATTTCGGTTGATCAAGTGAAAGGCGAAATAGATGAATGTAGAAATGAATATAAAGATGTTGGTGAGTTAAAGAAAGATATAGTAGAACTCAGAAAGGAAGTAAATAAGTTGAAAAATATTGCAGCAGAACAGCAGGCTATTGATGATAGTGAATTATATAACTTAGATGATGAATATAGAACTAATGACAATACTTCTTCATCATTTGCTGGCCGACTACCTTTTTCTTCAGCCCAAGTATTACCGCCGTTTAATCAGCGACTTGTGCCACCGTTCGGAGTGCCACCTAATACTTATCAGCTGTACAATCAGAGTTTAATGAATCTTTATAATCAATATTCCCAATTTGCTCAGCCCCCAGCAGTGCCTAGTGCACAGTCAATATTTGACCCAACAAGGTCTCAAGTGAATTTTTCTGGTGTCTTTCCGACACCTGAACAAATATACCTAGATGGAGCTCATCTTGTCCCACCTAATGTGCCTACAGTACCCCCAATACCTGCAGTGCCACCAGTACTGGCACCTTCGTTACCTACTGTGCCAGCAATGCCAAGTGGTGTGCCAACACCAGCTAAGGCCAAAGAGACTTCTCGACATCTGCCGGTAAATGTTGTGATAACTTCTTCAGATCCCTTGCCAACTTGCACTACAACGCCAGCACCAGCTCTCAGTGTAACCATTCCTCCTAAGCATATAAAAGGAACTCCTCACAATTACCAAATACCAATGCCATCAACAAATGATGTAAGTGTGAACTCACCTCCAGTTTTTACAATCCCACAAAATAAAACACCTACATCTTCTGGTGGCACCTTTTCGAACTGGAATCAATCTTCAATATTTAAAACAACTTCTGTAAATGCCAATTCTGCAGTGCCTCCACTTCTACATCAAACGCTGTCTGCACGGAAAATGTCCACAGATACGTTAGACATGTCAAAGACAGTCGTTGATGGTATTATTAATGTGTCTTCTCCAAATACTAGTCTTAATAAATCCAGGACTATATCAGAAAAAAGTAATACTTCTGTAGAAAATTATGATCCTTGCCCAGATTTTAAACCTATTGTACCTTTACCGGCAGAAGTTAAAGTAACCACAGGTGAAGAAGATGAAATTACAATATTCAGTTCTAGAGCCAAATTATTCCGCTTTATTGATAAGCAATGGAAAGAGAGAGGGATTGGTGAAATTAAGCTGCTCAAACATAAAAGTAATGGAAAAGTAAGGGTACTTATGAGACGAGAACAAGTACATAAAATCTGTGCTAATCATATTATTACCTCGGATATGGAAATTAAACCAATGAAAAACGAGACTAAAGCATATTTCTGGGTTGCTAATGATTTTGCTGATGAAAAAGTGGTTTTGGAAAAGTTTTGTATCCGCTTCAAAACTGCCAATCTGGCGCTAGATTTTTATAAAGCTTTTGAAAATGCTAGGCAGTCATCTATGGCTAGCAAAACTGATAACTTAACTGCATCAATATCTGATCAACTTAAAATAGAAAATCCTATGTTTAACTTTGAGCGAAGTTTTGCTGAAACACAGGGAAAATCTGTCATTGGTGGATTTACATTCAGTAGCACTCCGACATTAAAACCTATATCAGATATTACAGAAGCTGAAGTAAAGAAACCCCAAGAGGTTGTAACTAACAAAGTAAATGTGTTTAGTGGTTTATCTTTTAAAACCAACACAAGTTCTGCGACTAGTAACGTATTTAATGTCAACCCTACTTTGAGTGTAAGCACTAGCAAGGTAACAGAGAATGTAGCATTTAACACGTCAACCCCAAGTAATCTAAATAATTCTGATACTGTTGAAGAATTTGAACCAGATGTCGATTTTAAACCTGTGATACCACTGCCGGCTTTGGTTGATCAAAAGACTGGTGAAGAGGATGAAACTATTCTGTTTGAACATCGAGCGAAATTATTAAGGTTTGATTCTACTACAAAGGAATGGAAAGAGCGAGGACTGGGTAATATAAAATTACTTGTCCATAAGGACAATATACAAAAAGTGAGATTATTAATGAGGCGAGAACAAATAATGAAGGTATGTTGTAATCATGCAATTACTAAAGATATGACATTCCAGAAAATGCCTAATATGGATAAAGCTGTAACATGGTGTGCTAAGGATTTCTCTGAAGGTGAATTAGTAGCAGAGACGTTTTGCCTACGATTTAAAACAGTTCTACTATGCGATCAATTTATCGATGCTATAAAAGCTGCACAAACAAAAATGACAGATAAATTGAAATTGGTAAGAGAAGAACAAATTGCTGGCAAACAAACAAAGCAAACTGGATTTGGTGATATGTTTAAACCTAAATCTGGGTCATGGCATTGTGATACATGTTACACAAATAACTTAGAAAGTTTTGAAAGGTGTGCATGCTGTGAAACACCCAAGCCTGAACCTGCCCCTGGATTAAAAAATACAGATAGAGCAGTCACTTGTATGCCATCTAAAATGACTGTTACTGTTGGTTGGGGAGACAAGTTCAAACCTAAACCAGGTAGTTGGGAATGTAAGGCTTGTTTAGTGCGTAATGAAGGGAGTTTTGAATCTTGCAGTGCCTGTAATAGTCCCAAAGATCCTACCAAGGTAAAATCTACCGAAGTAAAAAAACAGGATAGTGCTATAAAATTCAATTTTGGCATACCACCTACAACTGGTACCTCTACTGTAGCTGTGAAAAATGAAAGTGTTATTGTTAGTACTGGACAAGATCTGTTCAAACCCAATCCTGTTAGCAACAATAATTCAATATTTAGTTCTGCTGCTGCTGCTGGAAGAGTACAATTCCAATTTGGTATGCCTTCTACAACAAGTGAACAAGAGTCAAAGAAAGAAGCATCCATATTTGATGGTACTGGTGCACCCAAATTTAATTTTGGAGTACCTTCAACCAAATTTGGTGCTACTGATTCTCATTCACCTCTTCTAGAAAAACCTAACAACATATTTTTTGTACAAAAAGTTGATCTTGATAGTGTACTTGACTATACTGTGAAGAAAATGAATGATCAAATTGTAAAGCCTGCATTACTGCCCACCCCAAAGACCGATAGTTCGACATCATTTGTCATCAATGAGGATAATAAGTTTAATTACGTATTCAAACCTAAAACGGATATAAGCCCAATGAAATCTCCTCTAAAAGATGGAGAGAATGACGATGAAAATTATGGAAACGAATATGCGGATGAAGATGAATGTCAGCACACCTTTACTCCTGTCATACCGCTACCAGACAAGGTAATATTTTTATGTATTTCTGACTCTAACTCTCTAATTTGTATAAAAGAAAGTGAATCCTTATCCTGATAATGATCATAGATGAATGTAACAGTATAAAAGTGCAAAACATTAAATTTATTGAATAATAAATATTCCACTGTATCATTAAAATGAAATATAAATTATCCCAATGTAAGAATAAAAACAGAAATACGAAGCACTAACAATTGCACGTTTCGTTCAAGTAGTTTGGTTGCGGCGGAAAATTCGACTGTATCGGCTTACGTGATGTCTTTATAAAGTTAAGTTGTATGAGCACATTTAAAATATCAACGTAATTGACGTTGCATTAGTGGTCTAACAACTATCATGTTTAATGAGTCCGAAAATATTTATGCCGACATTCAAGGAGTTCTCTTGGTTACAAAATTTCTAATAGTTTGGTACTTGGTCAACATAGTTTTGGTTAAATTATGAACAGAATATTTAAATGTGTGTAATGTTTTAGGTTGAAGTTATCACTGGTGAAGAAAATGAGACTGTGCTATATGGGCATGTAGCCAAATTGTACAGATTTACTTCAAGTGAATGGAAAGAAAGAGGAAAAGGCATAGTAACAATATTAAAGCACAAAGATACAGGGAAATTAAGGTAAACAAATATTTAGAGCTTTTAAGATATGCTACAATAAGGGATGGCCATATTTAGGAAAGTTTTTTAAATATTATGAAATGAGAATTTTTAATCTATAAAGCGATTTTTATGATTTTTTAGATTTACATAATTAAAACTACTGCAATTAACTTTTATTTATTTATTTAATTCATACATGGAAAACTTACAGCCGGAAAAATTTGTAAGAATGACACAATTAAAAAAAAAAGAAAAAACAGACAAGAAAAAAATATCTACCAAATCACACAGTACCTAAGCGCTGAAAATCAGAGTGACTGTGTAAGCGGTATCACAATGTTACACTATATCTCTGAAAAAAAATTATACCACAACATAAGTAGAGTTACAATTTAATAAAGTTTCAAGTGTTTGGCAGTCCAGCCCCAATACAAAGGGTTTGGCTACAGGTTACATGACTTCTAATAATGCTACTAATTGCGCATCTTAATTCGACAAATTTAAGTAGCTTTGCTTCTGGTTAGCAACCAAAATTCAGATTCAACAAAAAGTTTAAAGTGTTAGTCAATGGTATACAGTGCATTAATAGTACAGGAGAATGCCTTTGTGCAGGAGAGGCAGCGAAACTATGTTTTAAACGTAAATTGAATTATTAGAAGGTACTTTTGAGTTCCAAGAAAGTTAGAAAAACATTACAACTGAAAGAAAATTAATATTTTTATTTTTAATTAAAACTTAATTTATAACTATTTCTCCTTATTAACAGGGTTGTAATGCGACGAGAACAAATATTAAAGATATGCTTAAATCACTCCTTGTCTGCTGCTGTTACCTATAATCAAAAAGATGAAAAATCTTGGATGTTTACAGTCAATGACTTTAGTGATGGTGAGCTAACATTAGAACATTTCTGTCTGAGATTTAAAAATAAAGAAATAGCTTTAGAGTTTAAAGAGGCTGTTGATAAAGCACTTCAAGACTTAACTGTTGAAGCCCCAAAAATAGAAGAAAATCCTATTAAACTGGCAAGAGATGAGACTGATGATGTCATCTTTGTGAATGAAATACAATCAACAAAAGAAGAAAAAGAAAAAGCTTCCGAATTGATGTTACCAGAAAACTTCTTTAATTATAAGAACAAAGAACCATGTCAAGGATGTCGTGGTTGCCATGAAGATGAATATTCAAAGAAAGCCACTTTTGAAACACCAAGTTCAACAGCTGAGTCATCTGCAGTATCTGAGGTTAGACCTATAAAACTAAAAGCTCCATTTATATCAACAACTAATGCGAGCACTCCAGTGAAAGGGAATACCCCACTGTTTCAAAGCCCCACTAATTCGATATATGGCACTCCAACAACTGCAGACAAAACTGTTGACACATCCATATTCCGTACTCCATTAGGATCCATTGGTTCCAACTCTAAAACTCCTACCGTGCCATCTACCACACAAAACATTTTCGGAAACAATATGACCAACAAAGAGAATACATTCCTGCAAAAACCTAGTATTTTATCTGGGGTCAAAGAAGAAAATACAGATAAGGATTCTTCGCAAAGTGTTTTATCAGTTTTTGGAAATAGCAATGCATCAGTTAGCGCAAAGAGCTCTGTAATAGCACCACCGAAATTCAATCTTTCTAAGGAAAACCAGAATGAGACTGGCCTTAATCATTTTAGTTTTGGATCATCTCAATCAAAGCCAGCTTTTAGTGAAAAAACAAGTTTGGCTTCAGGAAATATTGGCGTTTCTAGTAACAAATCCATATTTGATAATAATGTACATGGTCAAAATACTGAAGTAAAGTCTATATTTGGAGACGATAGTAAATCTGAAAATCTATTTATGAATGTAAATCAAGGAAGTATTTTTGGACCTGGTGTTTTAGCTAACAATGAAACAAAGTTTGGTGGTAATATCTTTGGATCTGCCGGAGCAGGTGGTATTTCAGTGTTTGGTTCTCAATCATCAAAAGAGAAACCGTTTGAAACTGCAAAATCTTTATTTAGTTCTGCAATAGCTGAATCAAAATTCAGCACAGATTCAAAGTTTGAAGGAGACACAGGAAACTCTAACATAAGTTCTGATATCAAGTCCAAAGAGGAAAATCCTGAAAAGGCAGATAATATATTCAGTGTTTATGCTGCTGCTTTATCATCTAACACTGGAGCAAGTTTTGATCAGACTAAAAGTAAGATTGTTTTATGTAATGTTTTCAAGTATATATTCAGTACATGTTAATAAAATGTATAAATATTTATCTACAGAAAATCCAAATTTCAAATGGCAAGGTGCTGGAGAACAGTTATTTGTTGCTAAGAAGACAACTACACGAGATGTCGATAAGTCAAACAATGAAACTGGCGGTGGGGATGAGGATGTGGCTGGTGCTGATGAGGATTATGATCCCCAATACGAACCCATAGTACCCCTCCCTGATAAGATAGTAGTCACAACTGGAGAGGAGGATGAGGTATCATAACTTTATATCATTATTTTATTTATCTACCTTTGTTTTTCTAATTGGTAATTCCTTTTTTCTTTTTCTAACAGTAGGTCTACATGTCTCTATATGTGTCTTCCCCTCACTGTCTTCTGTTCTTTAGACGATTATCTGTGGTTTTAATTAGATCAAGAGAGTCACAAGCATTGTGTCAATTCCTTCAAGTACAGTTGGATCTGACTGTATAAGTCGTAATAAATACGATATTTGACAACAGCTTGGAAAGATAATAAAATCATACTCAGTCCTAAAAAAAGAAATCCTACATCCCTTGACAGCTATCATCTAATCTCTATCATGTTGTGCCTTTTTTCTGTCCGCTCCTCGAACGACCTAATAAATCCTTTCCTATCTCCACTACTGCTCTGTTGCACATCACAGACGAAGTGGGATTTGCTTTTGAACTGCCGTAATGGGTTCATTGCCGAGAGTACTAGATTATTAGTATTACAGACACTGGTTCGACTTGGTGTAGTGGCATGGTTAGTGTACCACGGAACGATGTGCTACGTATGTATACAGCCTTGGCCAAAAGTATTAGGCACCCTACATTTTACTTAAAATAAAAGAAAAAACCACTTATACTTTTTGAATTGATTTATTACCATTAAATTACACAAAAAAGAATGAAAAAAACTTAAAATCTAGTCGGTCCACCTTTGGATTTAATTACTGCACTAATTCTAGCTGGCATGTTGCGTACAAGCTTAGTACAATCCTCCCTTGTAATGGCATGCCATTCTAGTACTAACGCATTTTTAATGCTGTTTTCGATGTGATCCTTGTGTGATGCTTTGCATCCTTTTAAGCCTGCTTCTCCAAGTCTTCTTCTGGTGGTCCGAGCACTTATTGGCTTTCCAGCCTCTTCGGACAAAGTAGCAGCAAGCTCTGATGATGTTTTCTTCTGATCTTTCATAGATTCGCGTATTAATTTTCTATCCTCGCGCTTCGAAGTTACACGTTTTCTGCCTGTTCTTGGTTTATTAGCGTGAATGCCAGTCTCAGCAAACCGTTTGATAGCAGATTGCACAGCGCAACGCGAACATTTCACTAACTTAGCAATTTCTTTTTGCGACTTCCCTTGTTCATGAAGTATTTTTACTGGGTTTTCCAAACTAATTTCCCTTCTTTTCGGCATTTTTAAATAAATTACGCGTCAATTTAATCACTATGTTAGAAATAAAATCTTGTTTACTTGTTAGAGTCCTGAACACAAGTGACCAAACATTGACTGATAAGAACGCATAAAAACAAATCCTTTGTTTTCAGTCACCAGGTGTTTTATGACCATAACAGATAGCTGCTTGCTTTTCTAAGCAGTTATTTGTGACCCGGCATGCCATCTAAGATAAGCATTTATTCATTGTTCAATCAGTAAACATGAATTGTGCATTTTTCTGGGGTGCCTAATACTTTTGGCCAAGGCTGTCTGTATATACTCTTTCGTATACACTCTTTTTTTTTGTATCTATAAACCCTTGGTTTGTCTTTTTCCTACCACCCTATTTTTTTAAATATTAGAGGTACATTTTCTATATTAGTAGGCTGTTAATATGGCATCATGTCCTGTTTGTATGTTTATATGTAATTTACCTATAGGTACATATTATTATGTACCTATAAGTACATATACATATACATTATACATAAGCTATGAGCAGATATGACTATTGGGACAATGATCACCGACCGAATCGACATCAGACAAATCAGATACCCTGTGTAAAATTCTGAATATTTTAGTTTTTATAGCGTCGGAAAAATAGACCAAAAAATAATAGAATATTTCAAATGTCTTACATTTCCATATTTTTGGATCATTCCAATCCGAAATATTACAGGCTTTATATATGTTTAAATTACAGCAAAAACTGTTTGGAGAACGGTGTAAATTGTACCGCTATGATGAGAAGTGTCGGGAGTGGAAAGAACGTGGCATTGGCGAAATGAAAATACTGTACCATCCTGAGAAAAAAACATATCGCCTCCTCCTGCGCCGCGAACAGGTTTGTATTTTAATAGTAGTGTTTTAGTGTACTTTACTTTAAACTTAATAAAGAAAATTTAATTGGAAGGAAGAGTGTTTTTGTAAAACATTAATATCGACGATTAAACGCTTCTAAAGTTGTCAGTCAATGTTATAATTAGGTAAGTAATGTCCTCACCTCTAGAAAATGACATACATGATGATGTACCAATATTATAGACCTAATCTTAAGGTGATTATTATAATAAAATCGATCTCCAGGTTCACAAAGCAGTTTTGAATATGCTGCTACACATGGACTTAGAATTACTACAGATGAAGAACTCTGACCGTGCGTGGACATGGGCCGGACACAATTTTGCGGAAAACCCTGCTGGTGAGCAAGAGACATTGGCTGTGAGATTCAAGTCTGTTGAGTTAGCGCTTTCCTTCCAAAAAGAAGTTATTGAATGTGTTAGGGTGAGTGCTGCATTATTTTTTGAAAATTATTGAGTATAATTTGATTCTATATACACTATGCTAAAATATATATATTTGGAGTCTTGATTGATTTAAACATTAAAATAAGGATTTTTGTATCTGAAGCTTTCACAATTCAGTTACCTAACTAATCGTTATCAAAGGATCTAGCCGGTTAAGCATATGAAAACTGCACTCGCGTCTGATGAAGGATTCTTACCTTGTTTTTATTGTTTTTCATCTAAAATAGCCATACACTTAATCTCACACCCCTAACCCTTATAGTAAGGGAATAATGGGGGTGACAACCCTTAACGATTATTTTTTCTCACAGTACCAAGGTATCTTCATGAAATTAAAACCATATATGACTATCGATAAACTAATTATAATTTTAATAATAATTATTTTTTTATGATTTTTGCAATAATAGAAACTGTAAAAATCGAGAAGTATATTTTTTGGGGGTGGTTTTTTATACCGACCCCTAAAGTGACATCTAACAAAAAATATATATCTTATTTGTTAATTAGTTGGCTATTACATGTTAAAGTTACAAAAGGGTCGAATTGGTGGAACATAGCTTAAAAAAATAAAAATAGCATATATATCAATTTTTACTAAAAACTATATAAACACTTGTGCACTATCTTTATATCTGTTATAATAAATACGTTCTTATAACTTTTAAATGTAATGTGTAACAAAGAACATGTAATGACATTTTCATTTTCATGCGAGTTTTGTCAAGTTATAAGAACTTAACTAGCGAGTCAAAACATAATTGGCAGGTGACGTATACGTATGCGAGAGTTTCGAATATCAATTTATTGTGTATTATGTGCGGTTCAGTTTTTCACTGTCACATTTTCGATCAGAAATAATGGAGAAAACAAGTGAACGTCATAAAGATGATAAATGTGTTAATTGTAAAATAAGTCTCAGAAAAACCAGTGGAAAGTTGAAACGTATCATTACAAATGAAGATTTAAATAAATATCAACCTTATTGTAGAACAGTATTTCTACAATAAGGTTACATATTGGATCCATGTTTTGTCATAAATGTAGACTGATAGTATAATTATAGAGATGCGCAACCGATGACGTCTACTGGCTGTGATAGTGTTGAAAATGACAGTTGGCAGTGATTTGCATGATCCGGACTTTAAAGTGTTTTGTCGCAATAATTCACGCCAAGAAGAATATGTAGAGTTTCAAATCAAAAGAGTTAAAACAACACATATTTACTGTACTGTATGTAAATCTAAACAAAAACTTACTATTGTGCCTTTAGATGCTCGCCTTCAAGCATTTATTAAAGAATTTTTATTCCAAAAGGAAACAGATATTGCCCAAACCATTTGATAAAAAAACGATTCTTTGACGATGATTTACAGCTATTTCGAGTTTATTCTAATCATAGTTTCTTAGAAAGAGGCGAAGTCTCTCAGTTTTTTTAATCTTTTAGCTGATAATGCTGGTCTAACACTACACAATAGAGTTGGCGAATTTTGTGTTTCTGAAGAAAATTTTTTTACATACACAGGTCTTAAATAGCAAAATATTATTCAATTAGCGGGAATGCTTACTAGCATGAGAGATAGTGATGAACGGTCAGTAACACAAGCATTGGTAGTGTTTTTAGTTAAATTCCGAACTGGTAATTCAAACCCCGGTTTCCTCATGGACCAACTATGTATACACAACTAGTTGTGTCATGAGGAATATGTTTTTTAAATCATTCCCATTGGCACAACTAAACAATTTTCAATTAATAGTAGTTCCTAGATACCCAACTAATAACAATCGATGTACAAAGATTCGTGTTGTTTATCCTAAGCATTTAATATGGTATATAGGTATTATACTTATTACATATGTTAATGATCAACATATGTAATAAGTTTAATTCGCTTAATTTTGAAAATCGGTCAAAACATGAAAAAAAAAACAAAAAAAATAGAGACGAATATCAATTCAAAAACAAAAGAGGAGGTTTGATAACCTCCTCGGTCGGTTAAAAATACGAGTGTTGTTACAGGTATATTCAGCCAAAACGAAATCTTTGAACTTTAGTGGAATTTTCACTTCTTCAAAACGTTTGAATACTGTTTTATTCGCTCCAACAGACTCATTCCTAGCCTTATACAGACTAGTCTTTAAACTAGAAAACAGGAGGAACAGAATCTATTAAATCTAGTCCTATATCACCCATATCTGCTACGCTGTCTTTATAGTTGAGGAATAGGTTTGTCAGAATTGCTAACAGCGTCTTTTATTGCAGCTTTCTTTTTCAAATAAATATTTTCAGATTTATCAACGTCCCACGAATGCTCCTTAACATTGATTACTTTAGAGTTCTGAAAGAATAACTCAAACTTTATTAGTAGATATGCTACAGAACAAAACCTAAACTTACTTTTATAAAAATATCCAAATTTACCTGATTAGTTATGCATCCTCGACAATTAGTTTTACGATATTTAGAACATCGCAGTATAGACGCACCCCTCTTGTACCTTCCAACCCAATGGTGCTGATAGTGGCCGTATAAAGCCATCTTTCCACTTTTATTATCGACGTATATAAGTTCTTCGTCTTCTGGTATAGACATAGACATGTTTAAAATCAGGATCTACGCCAGCGTATGCACGAAAATTATATATCAATAATTTTTATATAATCAGTGTTAATAAATGACATGAAATTGCATTTAAAATATTATATTTGTTAATATACAAAGATACGACAGAAGTGGCGAACATAATTTTCAATATCTTAGTTAGTTAGTAATAATCCCATTTATTTCCTCCTGTAGTTGTGCTAAAAGGAATGATTATAGTAAATCAGTTGTGCTTAGTTGTGCCATTAGGAACATATTCTGGGATGGCACAACTAGTTGTGCGTACATAGTTGGTCCATGAGGAAAACGGGATTCAAACGACATAAGTCAGAAAATATTTGGATTGAAATATTCTCAACAAGTCTCAAATTATTTAAAGCAGTAAAGTTTCGAAAAAAATATTCTACCAGCTCATTTTGGAATAAATGCGAAAAGTAGACAAGATCTTATCTAACATCTTAATCTTAATCTTAATCAAACATCTTATCTCGCAAAACATCTACTCAGATTTGGAGAAACTCCTCTTGGTTTAATTTTTCACGGAACTTATATTAGGCATGAAAAAAGTAGGAACAATGTTTACCAAAGAAAATCTTACAGTGAACAGAAGAAAACACCACTCTGTAAGCCTTTTACCATTTGTACAACAAATGGCTATGTAGTTGACATAGCAGGTCCCTACAATGGAGCGATGAACGATGCATGTAAAATGAAAGGTATATTAGACTAACCTAACGGACTCAATACGCTTCTACAACCAGGTGACATTTGCATTGTTGATCGCGGTTTCCGTGACGTGGTCGATTTTTTAAAAGAGCAAGGTTACCATGTACTTATGCCAGCTTTGAAGGAAAAAAGAGCACAATTAACAGTAGAAGAGGCAAATGCGTACGAGACACGATTTGTAACTGAGGTACGCTGTTGAAGCTGTACATGGCGCTATTGGTGAAAAATGCCATTTATTATGTTCTGGACTTTTTTAAATTAGTGTATTGTCATCGGTCCTCGATATATCTACAAAGTTTGAACGAATTCTGACCGTTTAAAGTCAGTCAAAATCACGCCCAAAGGAGTCGGTTACAAACATACAAACAAACATACAAGTGAAGCTAATATAAAGCGTGTAATGAGAATTTGAATCGGCGTAGAAAACTTTTTACGAAATTATCTTCAACTAGTCTAATGGAATTTCCAGAACTGAGTGAAACTGAACTTAAAATATTATTTACTGGCACATCAATTATCACAAGCAGTATGTTATCTCTCTTGCTGAAATAATAACTGACAACGAATTAAATCTTGACTTTTTAGAAGATCGCTAAAATGTTATAAAAGTAAGGGTACGATCAAGGCATATTAACAGCAAGACATATAATTGCTATATCGAGTATGAGCCAAATTCGAACACCTACAGAGGAATTCGAAGATATGTTTGTGAGTGCAAATGAGAACAGAACAGGGCTGTTGCGCTCATGTAGCCACTGTTATTTACTACTTAGCACATGCTCGTTATAAATCAAAAATTATAAAACCAGCTGAAATATTGACCTCCATGTTTGATGCGACTGTTATAACAACTACTATTGAAGAAAACAGTGACGATGATTGAATGTTCAGTATAATAACGTTATCCATAATTTTGTTCATATTTTGTATGATTGAATTGAGTATACGAGTAATACATTATTTCATATAACTACGTAATTTAATTGATTCTTATTTTTTTATGCTATGTTAAACCAATGCGACCCTTTTGTAACTTTAACATGTAATAGCTAACTAATTAACAAATAAGATATATTTTTTTGTTAGGTGTCACTTTAGGGATTGGTATAAAAAACCACCCCCAAAAAATATACTTCTCCTTTTTTTACAGTTTCTAATATTGCAAAAATTATAAAAAAAATATTATAATTAGTTTATGGATAGTCATATTATTATATGGTTTCAATTTCATGAAGATATCTTGGTACTGAGAAAAAAAAAATCGTTAAGGGTTGTCACCCCCATTATTCCCTTACTATAAGGGTTAGGGGTGTGAGATTAAGTGTATGGCTATTTTAGATGAAAAACAATAAAAACAAGGTAAGAATCCTTCATCAGACGCGAGTGCAGTTTTCATATGCTTAACCGGCTAGATCCTTTTTGCATCCAGTCAAGGGCACAATTAAGGACAAAGAGTATGTTTCTTGTTATAATGTTAGGCATAAGAAATAAGGACTGTGACTAAAAATCTATATTTTGAGTATTTTATTGTGGGGAAATACTGTTGACATTCAAAGTATCTTTGTTGTGTTGTGTTGCAAAAGAAAACTAGTTGCGCAATTTATAATCTCAGTTATAGGCAGTCACTTAGGGGTAAGTATAAAGAAATTGATATTACGACAATCGCATCTCAATACATCTATAAAAAAATTGTGTATGTAAAGAAAAATATTACTTGCAGAAAGAAATAAATATAATGTGTCAGAGGTTGTTGAGGAAAGGAGTGAATGTGGTCTAGATCAACGGGACGATCCACGTTGAGTAAGTGTTAAAATGCTCCCCCCGTCGCTCGAGTATTTTCTCCCTACTTTTAAGAATCCCTTTGCCAATGGTCGGCTTTAGTAGGACTAACCACTTGATGTGCCAGTAAATAATGCCATGAAGGGTGTGCCGAGTAGGTTTCATACCTCAGCATAAAACTCACCGAACTGGTTAGTGTCAGCGAGCCACTGCATCCGACGAGCCCTCTCCTGCCACCATTTATTTTTCGCTTTCCGTGTGAGTTTACACAGCTTCAGGTCACTACGACGTATCTCCTTAACACTTCCACCTTGATGTGCTTTGACGTGCTGCCTGAGGAGCCGACGGTGTTTACCGCCCATTTCCAAGGGGTTGAGCCTCATGAGCAGAAGAAAGGGCAAACAAACTTTTTTAATCTACAGATATTACCCCTACCCCCTCCCTTTAGTACCCCATCATTCTCATCAAACCAATTCTAATGCTTCCGGGCTCTCAGACCCAAAGTAAGTGTAGCGGTGTCAAGAATATGCGATGATAACGACTCCCTGACAGCACCGACCCCACCGGATTTTAGATCGAGGGGCAGCAAAGCAGTGCTCAAGGTTGCGGCATAATTTGTCCTTGTGTTAATATGTTGGAATCGGTTAAGGCTCCTTTTTTTTCTTTTCGAGCTATTAGGACATCGAATATGAAGACGACGTCTGAACAATATGTGATTTGCTAACAAGTTATGTCTATCATATTTTTAATGTCATACTTATATTTCAGAAATTGCAAGCAGACGCGGCAAATGCATTAAGAGAACAAAAGGAGACTAATAAAGTTACACCGCTTAGACTACCTAAACATTTACAAGAGAGTGCGCGTGCAGATAATGTAATGACTAATGAAGTAAAAGAACAGATATCGTTGACGATTGCTCCTACAACTGAAACAACAACTAGTGCCAAGACGGAATCTTCGGCTGACACAGAAGTGTATAACGAAGATCACTTTACGGAGGTGGAATGTGAAGTTCAAGAAGATCAAGACTATGAAGATGAGGAGGATTACAATGCTTACTATCAAGAGGTAAGTTGAGTTCCTATTTATCTATACAATGTATTTCAAAGCACTTCATAATGTTTACAAATTATTTTTTTCAAACACAATTAAAATAAATATTAATAATTTATTTGAAAAGGGTGACTTGTAATCCGAGCAGGTGAACAATTTTGGGTAGGTTCTTAAGGCACTACAAAAAAATTGTAAATGACCGTGAAGGACCCCTAAATAAGACAGTCGAGGTCTGGCTCAAGGGTAGCGGCCCAATACCAACCCTTGAATTTTCTTAAAAGGGAAATTTCTTTATTAAAAAACATGTTTTTGGTGCATTTTGAAATTATTATATGTATAGTTTGGGTAAAAGAATTGAAAAATAAAAAAGCCAGACCAATTACTAGGGTCGGGTAAATGTTAGCCAGAAAATTGCAAAATGGTTTTTAAACAAAAGCACAAAAAAAATTTAAGGCACTGCTTTTGGGAGAGTATTATAGGTAGGTACTTAAAAACAAATAGTCCCAAAAAGCCGGCTCAATTATATCTTCGATCAAATAAAGATGCACGATTACGGCTCGAGAAATGGCGCCAATTCAACTCGGCTTAAATTAGAAGTATCCACAGTTACGATCACAGCCGCTCGAGACCACGTTGGTAGTGTGACATTCAGCGGTGCCAAAGTGTGCAGTAAAAAATGTAAAAACTACACTTTAAAATGCAAAAAAATGTAGTCGTATTTTCGGTAAAAATAAAAAGGCGACTAAGTGAGCAAATTACAGGACAACAGCACTGCAGAGAGAAGGAAAACTTGACACAAACCCTATACCAACCCGTCTGGCCAGCGTGGTGTAGTAGGCCAAAATCTCCTTTCTAAGCAGAGGCCTATGTCCAGCAGTGGACTAGTAGAGGCTGTTGATGATGAGGATTGACGAAGAGTACTTTCCTTGGCATTCGATTGATGTAAAAGTTAGCTTCTGACAATAAATTATTAGGCTGCAATATGACTAGTAGGCCAAAACCTCCTTTCTAAGGAGAGGCGTATGTCCAGCAGTAGACTGTTAAAGGCTGTTGATGAATATTCATGATATTAGCAATTCAAAAACTTATTTTAAACATCCTATCTGTACATTATGGTATGCTATTCTTATATGCGACTTCGATCGACTTCACAAGCTTCACCAAATAGGTACGTACCGTGAGAAACGCGACAACGCCGCTGCACAATCTGTACCGTTTTTTTGCAATTATTACGCCATCTTCCTATGTGAACATTCTTTGTATAAGCTTGTATATTTTCTGAATAGGATTATAAAACATGTTTTACGAGAGTGTGCATCTATAGTTTATTCGACAGAAGAATTTAATGGAATTTTTCACCTGCCAGATGATTGAGAAATTTCCACATAAGTGCGGGTGAACAGCATTATGTATAGCATAGCTTAGACTGTTGGTTACGAATTCAGTTATACGATTATGGAGGAGGCAGGGTAGTAGTAACACAGGGCAACTGGGTTGTTTTGCTAACGCGTAGGCATATATTATATAGTGACTGTTAACATTGCTGTGTGCCTATTTTAGAAAAAGTAAGTAAAAAATATATATAAAAATAAAACATACTTAAGTGACTTACACTGCTACCGACTGAAGTAGTGACAAGCGTGCGGCGTTAAATTACAATCAGGGTTACCTGTACAAGTAGTGTTTGTGACTACATATACAATGTATAAATAAAAACAATACAAAAACTCAATATGAACTAGAACTCGAAAGCTAGATATGCTAGCTAAAGGGGGATGACTGTATTTAAATACCTGTAAAACTTACGCTTAACAAGTTAAAATTGGACGTCTGAAAAATGAATTCCTTACAACACTGTGTAGTGCCATATGTGGAACGAATACTAATATTAAATCAACTCCTATGAAAGACCGCCGCATACCTACAAGACTGCCTTGACTAAAAATATCCAAGGGTTGTCACAAAAACAATCACGACTGCAGGGGTAGTTAGGTAAAAGTAGTACTTGACTTTTAATTCGAATTACGTTTAAAATGTTGGATAAAAGGTTAAACAAATTATATGAAACAGATTAAAGTTATACATTGGAGAATAGTTTATTTCGTCTTTTTACAACCATGTGATTGCTACAGCTTTCCATTACGATATGAATGAAATTATATGTAATTAAAATATGTATAAAATAGAATATGCTTTATTGTACACCAATTACAGTAAGTTGGTTAAATATTACAGATGGATATGTACAATGGGCGGCCTTATTGCTAATAGCAATCTCTTACAGGCAACCTATGGATGGACAAATCGACAGAGTGGGTAGTCTAGGAGTGTTGAAGCTAACGTAGTGTAAAAATAAATAAATATACATTATATAATTAAATATACATACACATATATTGATAACAATGAAAACATTAGTCATGTACAGTTATTGAAAGCAAAGGTTACTATGAACTATGAACTCAAGTAGTGAACTTTGACCATATTTTTAAACGCAGTCAGTGTTAGGGCACTTCTTATAGATATCGGTAAGGCTTTCCATAATCTGACAGCCTGCACCGTAAAAGATTTGTCATAGAATATGGTAGTGTGGCTAGGTACCATTAGCTCCGAAAATTCCGACGACCTTAAGGATCTCAGATGTGTGTCACTGAGGAACTCAAAACGTTCCTTTAAGTAAGGAGGGGTTAATGGATTGAATAAAATACTATAAAGTATAGAAAGAATATGTGTATTCCGTCGAAGTCGAATTGGGAGCCACTTGAGTAATTTACGAAATTGTGTCACATGATATTATTTGCGTAAACCAAAAATAAATCTAATGCAGAAGTTTTGAAGGCTCTCAAATTTATCAAGTTGCTCCTCAGTGATATCGAGATAGCTGACATCAGCGTAATCGAGTATAGGGAGAAGCAGGGAATTAGCTAGCGCAATTTTAGTGACCGTGGGTAGGAAGTTACGAAGTCTTCGCAGTGAGCCTGCCGATGCAAATATTTTCCTACTAACTTCGCTTAGTTGAGGGCCCCAGGATAAAGTACTATCAATCATAATTTCTAGGTTTTTAACACAAGCACTGATCGAAAGTACACCATCACTAAATTGGACTGTCAATTAAATCAGACCAGTCGATTTTAGAGTGCATCCTGGGACTGCCTACAACAATGACTTTGGTCTTTGATGGATTAACGACAAGTCCATTCTGGCTGCTCCATTCAAAAACCCGCGCCAAATCCAAGTTCACAACAGAGAAAGCTTCAGACAATTTGTTTAGCAGAGCTTGCGTATAGATTTGAAGGTCATCTGCGTAAATTTGATAGGATGAGAGTAATGATTTAGAAATAGAATTAATAAAAATAGTGAAAAGCAGAGGAGCTAAGACGCCACCCTGTGGTACTCCAGCAGACGTATTACACCATGAGGAAAAGGATTCCTCAATGCGCACACGCTGCCTAGAACCCAATAGGTAACTATGAAACCAATCCATCACCGTTGGAGGTATGTTAATAGTGTGTAAAATGCCTAGCAAGAAATCGAAGTCCACCGTATTAAACGCATTGCTTAAAATTTAGTAGGGGGAGTGCTTTAAGTTTACCGTGCTCCATACCCAGCCTGATGTCATCAGTCTGCTGATCAGCGCTCTTACCGTGCTGTGGCCAGTACGAAAGCCCGATTGATAGGGATTTCGGAGATGGTTTTGTTATAGGTATAAAATTAATTGAGTGTGGACGAGCCGTTCTAGGACTTTTGACAGAAAGGACAATAAGGAAATTGGACGGTAGTCGTCGAGGGATGAAGGACATACGACTCTGTCAAGAAAGTACCGGGAAAAGATCAATAATACACAAAATGTTTGTTATTCATCCAAATTTATCAGCTTCAAAGTATGCGCCTTTAGAAACGATACACTTACGCCAACGAATAATCCAATCATCAAAACATTTTTAAACGCTGTTTCCGCAATTGAGTTCAGTTCTCGTCGCGAATTCTCCTTAATGTCTTCTACCGATTGAAAACGGATGCCACGAAGTGGTAATTTGAGTTTAGGAAAAAGAAAGAAGTCGGCTGGAGCCGATGGTATTTGTTGAGTGTTTGATAAAAAATTCGTTCACAATGATGGCCTTGTACGAAGGCGCATTATCGTGGTGCAAAGTCCAAGAATTTTCTTGCCACAAATCTGGCCTTTTTCGTCAAATTTGCTCTCTTAAATGTCGCATAACGCTCAAATAATATTCTTTTTATAAATTTCGAGTGCATAACACCGCGATAGTCAAAGAAAACAGTCAACATGACTTTGACCTTTTTTCGGTTGCGGTTCGAAGCTTGATGACTGGTTTGCATGTCAAACTCAAAGTAATAATGCGTTTCATGAATGTTGGGTCGGAATTGACTCGTTCTAGCATGTCCTCAGCGACTCTCATGCGATTGAGTTTTTGGAGAAAATTCAGGTCTTTTGGGACTAGCCGAGCGGTAACATGTTTCATACCCAAATGATTAGTTAAAATGGTACGGATTGACTCGTGAGATACAGAAAGTTAGGCGGCTCTCTCTTTCGAAGTTGAATGAGGATTTTCAGTCACCATTTCCTTCACTTTTTTTTTTTTTTTTTTTATTTGAATAGCTGATACAAATACAAATCATGTACATAGAGATGCAACATAAACTCCTTCGAGTTTTAACGTACATCAATTTCGTCATATGTTACTTACATTGTCACAAAATATCACAAAATGCAAATACACTTAGAATAAAAGCACCAATACAAAAAGCATCACAATAATAAAGTGAGGGTAGTATACAAAAATGTGTGCGCAGTGCGCAATGGTCACATCGACCGCGCATCAGTGATGAATTCAACAACATTATATCGTGGATACATTTACAATATTTTACTACACTATACAGATTGTTCCAGGGTATGACAAATGGTCGATTTAATTTTGTAAAAAGTGTTGTTTCAATTTTATTTTTATGTTTACTTTTGTTAATGAAGTCTACTGATTTCGGAAGCTCATTTA